GCTTGCGCCGAAAACTAGCAAGTCTTAGAAGCTTTACCCATAGTTACAAATTACAGAGTTCATACAAACTTAAGAAATTGCCATAGAGGCTTTGAGACATTTACGACTTCTATTGAAAAGCAGTCAGAGCTCAATGGCTGAAGCGCACACTCCCAATGACCGACGTAGCTTGTAGCCAAATTATATTAAATTAAATAAAATGAGCTGCAGTTAAATTAGTGACAAAATCGACACAGAACACTGCGCGGGTAATTAATCAAATCATGCAGAGGAGAAGTAAGCTTCAATAAAACCTGAGCCAAAAAATGTAGACGTCTAGAAATGATCTGACTCCATTGAATCGGCTTCTCATAAACGGACTCAACTCACTGCTCTCGTTCGAAATTGCTTCTGACATTATTAGTTACTTGTGACTCAATGGACAAATGAGTCTAAAAATTTAGTGATTCACACAATATAGAGAAAGGAGAAAATTAAAGAAAATCCTTTTTTTTGTGCCATAAGTTGAAAAAAACAGCTTTAATGCTTTTCTGCAAAGAAACAAATTCAATTTTCTTTCTTAATTTTTCAGATAAGGTGAAGACGAATTAATACTCTCACTAAAACACACATGATTATTTGTTAGTATTTGAACCAACAAGTATACAATGCTGTCTATTTTTTATCATCAAAAGAAATGATTAGCTCTTGCCATAAGGTCCATGAACGTTTTTACCAGAAGTGATCTATTGATTTGGAAAAAAAAGCGGGATCATTAAAATAGAAAATTATTTAATCGGAAAGACTGCTTTAAGTCTTTTGAATGAGATGATTTTCCGTTTTGACAATCTTCCTTTTGCTTCCTGACCTCACAGATCAATTTTTGTAAAATCGTTTATCACGCATGAGGTTATAGTTGATCATTTCGAATTTCTCATAGACGACAATATTGGCCAAGTTTATGATATGATAGATATAATGCGTCAAATTCTGCTTCGATTCCAGTTAAATCCCTTCAAGTTGCAATCTCCTGACTTGATAAAACAAGATCATGGGTGCACAGGCATAAAGCTCATAAAAAGCTATCACTATTCCAATTTCAGACTTAAATGTACATTAAACCGATCTGAGGAGTCCAAGTAATTTTAGTGAAAGCATTAATCTTGAGGACCCGTTTACAATTCTAAAAGGTAGACTGGTTCAATTGAAGCTTACGCTGAAAACACCGCAGGTACAGTAAGTAAAATTACACACTCAGATATTTTTACAGATGAATGAGCATCAGCAATGATGGAGGATATAGATAAATGGAAGTAAAAGATAGAGAAAGATAGAGACAGAGAAGAAAGAAAGAAAGAAAAAAAGTAAGTGAGAGAGTAAAGAAAGAGCAATTGAGGGATTTAATGAGGCATGGGATGTAATAGAATTTCAAATTTGTAAAAATGCTGAGATCCTCAGCTCGCACCAAAGAATTTCAAGGTCAGAAACATTGAAAAAACTGAAAAAGATGAAGCTTCACTCGGAATTGGCACAGCCAGATTTACTACTGTCTGATAAATTCGTAAAACTAAAATTAGACATCCATGATAACTCTGTTTGTTTTAGCTACGCGCTACTAATGATTGCATTTTGCTCAGAAAAGAAAAAAATAGTCATTGGATGTATCAGTTTAATTAAATTTTAAAACTATTGATAAGCCTTTTGAAAGGGCTTAAAATTCGAAGAGTGAAGCTGATTTATTAGTATAAGATTTTTTTTTATTAGACTGATAATCTAAAAAAAGGTCGTTGAACAGAGCATTTTGAGTACTCTGAACTTACTATAAAATTGAAAAGAAAGCCACTCTCCACAGTGGGGCCCCTAGACAAGGTATGAATTAAAGCTCTTCACAACATGTTTTCTCATCAAAATTTTGAGAGAAATTCATATCTGGAGAAAAATTTCTTAACAAGACATAAGTGTTTACGATTGACATTTGTTAAATAGCAAAAATACAAATGATGAGATTTGCATAATCTAGATTCCATTTGATATGCGTGAAAAATGCTTGTTAATATTTTGTTCAGGAATTGATTTCCAAATTCTCCGTTGTGAGAATAGTTTTTTTACAGATGATTGTGAAGAAAAAACTTGTCATGTTTTTATTCTATTGCAGATTTTATCTAGAGGCCCATTCTAGACACTTTTTTTTTTATTTTCGATCACTCTAAAAGAAAAATGGGTCGATTAAGGTTGGTACTCATTGTCATTCTTTGAACAGCTTCTTTCTTTGAAAAGTCCTTCGAAATTTACAATGTGATTAGGGGGAGTTGGAGCCTCAAGATTGTTAAGTGCGAGCTGAAGAGAGATTGAATGCAAAGGACGTCCTAAAAGAAACAGACATCTTCAGAGTTTGAGACAGCATTACAAAAATTTGAGTATTAGATGATTTTAAAGTTAGAATGACTGGTGGTATTTATGCAAGGAATTAGAAAATAAGTTCCAGCCATTTTCAATAAAGTTTGTTCAGTTATGGATGAATAAGATTAACGGCACTTGGAATTTTGAGACCTTATGTATTCAGAATGTATTCTCCTTTTACTACTGGTCTAAATGTGCACTACTGTTAAATATTTTGCGATTAGACACACTTTTTTAAATCAGAGACCCACCTTAAAATTGTGGGTGTGGGTTTTAAAGATCTTCATTCCAAAACTTTAAAAAAGTACAGATCTTTGATAGATGCTCAAAATTTTCTTCTTGGTCAAAATTAATACAAAAGCATAAAACGAGGAGGTAATACAAAGTTTTGAAAGTCAAAAGACTCAAATGTCAATTTCTGGGAACTGAACTAATATCAGCTTCAAATTGTCTCTCTGGCAAATTCTGAAGCCTTTAATAATCGGGCATTTGTAGGAAATGCAAACAAACATAGGGGTTAAAAATCATATTTTTGCTGAGCTCTACGGAAAGAAATTTATTGAGAAGATGGTGAAAAAGAACTTTTAGGACATCCCTAAAGCATATTAGTTATGATAAAAGACCTGGAAACACTGAATGAGTATTAGAATAGCTGTAATAAAAATTGTTAGTACAAATTCAAATATGCAGGAAACAAAAGGAGACAAATCAATGGAGAACAAAAATAATTCAGACAACAGCATTTCAGTCTTCTTTGACAGACTATTTACGAATCATTAAGACCAAAAAAAGATGAGGTCGGGTTAAGATTATGACAATAAGATCCTGAAGTAATTTCACACAACATGAAACTGAAGATCGAAGAGAGAAATCTTGTACGATTAAGAGAAAGAAAGCAATTTTTGCTGCCACTACATAGGTTGAACAACCTCTAATTCATTGTGCAGAGGAGGACATAATCTCTCTCAGGGTCTCTCATTAAAAAAAATTGTTGTAAGTTTTGGGAAAAACTATTTGAGTACATATGGAGTCAATTAGATTCATTAAAAAAAAGAAAATGTATTCCATGTCTTTACTTTTTCACCCATACAAGAAGCGTTTATTCTCCTAATAAATTAGAAAAGGTTGGCATGTTAAACAAGCCATATTTTGGGGTACTGAGAGGAAGATAAAAAACATCCTTTAAGTCAAAGACAGCTGGCGAATAAAGATTAGAGATTGTGAGCTCATAGTCTAAAAAATATTCTAATTCATTGAGGGTGATGGCATGATTTAATCAGAAAATGCCATAACTCTAGGATGGGTTTTTGGTTACAGATGCAATGCATATGGGATAACATGCTTGTTGAGATTGAAATCAGGGTCTCGGACCTTTGGATTATCCTCCGCTAAAGATAGAATTTAGGATAATCCCACCACGCATCATTAGAAAAAAATAGCTGCTCTTTAAACCTTCAATTAGCCTTATTCCTCTTCCATTACTGAAGACTATCAGGACTCTTCAACTTTCTTTCAATAGTTCGAGAATTATGATCTACACAAAGTTCCACTTTTTAGCTTAGTCCTCAGCAACTTTCGTTCTTGAACAATGGGTTAGCAAATGATGAGAATAATTAAATTGCTGAATTTGATAGAAAACTTTGATAAAGAGTCTAAGTAAATTATATGTTCTGATCCACAGTTTAACTAGGTAAAAATTTCTCTTTACATTTTAGAGCTACTTTTAACTTACAAAAAATAATGAGACTGCTCTTTGCTTCTGCATCAATTTCTCTTCAATTGAAGGACGACAATTTTTTTCGAATGAAAATCCGAAAACTTCCATATTACAGCCCGTGATCTTCACAGAGCATAATCTTAAAAGCAGTACTTTACAAATTTTTCGGTTCCCTATCAGAATCAGCAACTAAGCAATGCTGCACAGTGCGCTTTAAGGTGAAATAACACGGCACAGAAAAATGACTGGACTGCTAAGGTACACTCTACTATGGGTACAGACAAAAGGAGTTCGTGCTCATGAGAAATGGGCCACTGAGTGAAAGGATGCAGTAATACTATCTTCGGCGTTAAGTTAAAATACGCTTCCTCACTCCATATTATGATAAGTAGGATATGTTTTCATTTAATGATATGAACTACAGATGCTTGTAAGTAATTTTCAGTCAAAAGAATAACGTGCTTATTGTTTTCCTTAATTAAATCAAGGGATAAACGGGACGTGTTTGGTCATATTAGGAAGATGTTGATTTCAGTAACAGTTTTCAAAATGATATCACAGTCGTATAATATGACTTTGTTGAATCTGCACTATTTGGACATCTCCTATGATTTTACACACTCATACCTGTGGTAGATGTACCATACAGAATTGCTCCAAGTAATACGCAACATGAACACTGAGAAAAAGTCGTATGCTTGTGTGGCCATTTTTTCTGCGACGCATTAGATAATTTGATTCATCTCCTACTGCACTGTGCAATGCCTCACATCTACCTCCATGCCACATGAAACTAACCCATTTGAACTTAAAGCTCTCTATGAACATGGAAGAAAACTCATTTTTGGTCAAGATAAGTCAGCAAAAAACTACTGAAGGTGAGAGAATGAGAAAGATGACTTACCAAGCCGACTAGGAGAAAGAATACTAAAAAAGTTCGACCGAGGATAGTTTGGCAGTAGACATCACCATAACCGACTGTTGACATGGTGACAATTAGAAAATAAACACAAGTCCAATACGAGAGTTGTTGAGGATTGTTGAATTCAAATGGATCACCTGAGTTTTCGAGCTAAAAAAGAAAAGAAATAGTCTAGTACTACAGCAATTGGATATTATGATCCTGAAATTTATGGAAATTAAAATGACTTGACAAAATATATTCTTTAGATCATTTACTTAAGGTCTCAAAACCTAAATGAAAACTGCAGAAATCTCAATTGAAATCAGATAGTGACACTCAAAACTCAAATTTTAATCAACAGTGCTTCAGAATGTTGAAAACACTGAGTTCATAATTTTCTTTTCTTTAGAGGAGAACGCTTCTATGCTGTGGAAAATAGCATGAAATGCAAAAGGAGCAACATGTGAGGATTTTTAAAAAAATATCTAAGCACTGATTTTACAGAAGAGCAAACATTTTGCATTTTTTCTTCTTTTTTTGCCAACTTTTCTATTTTAATTTTATCATCAAAGAGAAATTATGCGCCAAAAAGTATTAACAGAACTATTTTTGTGTGTCATTTTGAGAATTTTCAGAGGAAAAGGCAAGCTCGTTTGTATAATATACTTTTTTAATCCCCCTCCATTGTCTCTTATTCTCACCTCATTAAGTTTTGAACCTTCACATTTTTCGAACAATAAGTAAGTTCGGTCATTTTTTTTTTCATTGTAGACTCCTTTTCCATAAATCTAAATGTTTTGCAATTTTAAATCACTTCTCCCCTCTGCCATCATGAAAAAAAATTGGAAAACAACTGTAGCCTTAATTCACTTAATCGTTTGAATGGTGCGATAAATTAAATGACTCTGACCAATACATTTATTCTGTGTCTCTTGAATGCAAAAAACCAATTGGTCCAGACTCAGGTACTTAAAGATCTCTTTGATCCAAAAAAAGATAGAGAAATAATAGCATATTATAAAATTGATAGACTTACAAGATGAATAATACCCGCAGCAGTTAACCAGACTGAGATGAAAATGGAAACAAGTTGAGCAAGTCTGATGCTGCTCGAAGTTTTTAGAATATTAAGGTACTGTAGAATATCTGGAACCGTCATCAGCCTTAGAGCTCGAAGAAACCTTAAACCTACAGAAAAAAAAATTACGAAGTTAATTCATGATACAGCATCAGAGTACATCTATCACAAAACCTAATATTAATATACTCATGAATTTATAATGAAAAAGTTATTTTAATTTCTTTTAAATTAAAAGAAAATCAACATGAAATAAAGTTATTACTTTACTTCACTTTCACTTGCTGATAGTTGCTTGCGCATTACATAGGATGAGCCAAGCAAAATGCAACTTGGAGCAACCTTAAATTTCAAAGAGTCCATAGGGAGTGTAGGGGGTCCAGTGTCCAAAGGGGGTTCACTGACCCTTGATGTTTTTGTTCATTAGGAAAAATAGACTGATGATAAAACTGACAGGAATTCAGGACCGGTTGAGGATATTTGATTAATATATACAAGTCTGAAGTATTTATAGATGATAAATTTTATGTCCTTCTTAAAATAAGCCTTCTTAAAATAAGAAACATTACAGCAAACAAAACCTAGAAAAATTATTGAAAATTATCCTTAAAAATTTTAGAGGGGTTGAAAAATTTTAAAAAAAATCTTACCTATCCACGTTCGATCCAGATAAATGGAAACAAACGATGGTGGAATTGTAAAATAATCAACAAAGGAATACATTTCCAACATGAACCACAATTTATCACTAGCAGCTATAAACTGAAAAAAGAAAACAAAAAGTATAGCTAAACATCATTTTTGCCGTATAATATCAATTTTGATTATAAAAAAAGAATGAAGTACAGGAATAAATAATGATGAAGGAACGGCTCTCTTTTCGCAGTAACTGCATAAAATCTGTGGTAGCTAAAAAACAAGGCAATCTTGCTTCTCATGCTACTTTCATTTAAATGCACACAGCATGGGCATACCTCAAGGAGGGCTAAAAAAGACTAATGAGGGGCATTTAATCCCTTAGCCTTTTTCCTGCCTGCCCAAAAAATACTAAACGAGAAGAAAGATTGATTCAATCCCCCGACGTAAACATAGAATTTAAAACGTACTAAAAACCTCAGATTAGCCCAAATGCTTGTTCGACTGGTAAAATAGCAAGAGAAGCTACTATTTATGATTTTTGTCAGATGTCAGCCATAAAAAGGAAGGTAGTGCAAGTGTCATCATAAATTGGCTCTCACTCATTGATTTTTTCAGGAAATTCTATCAATGAATTAAAAATAAATTATGAATTAAATACTCTTATGAATTAATTATTAATTGAGTGATTAACCCTCATTTTCACAAACACTTCAGGCACGCATCTACTTTTCATTTAAATTTAATTTTTTTTTTTTTTTTGGAAAGAACCTGACAAACGGAGCTGCACATTTTCTGACGCAAAATCTGGTAAAAAATGATTTAATGGGTAGCAAAAATGTCCTGCAATAAAGTGAAAAAATTCAAGTAGGTAAATACGGTTGGTGAATTCTAGTTATGGTAATACTTTTTTTTATCCTTCAATTTTCCGGAAACAAGCTAAAAATCCGTTTATCTTCATTCTTATTATCTCATCTTCATTGTCATTCATCCCTCATATGCCTTACACCTGATCTGGTTGTGTCCTTTTTTACTATTCATTCTTAGTGGTCACAGTATAATTTTGAGCCATACTGAGCAAAGATTTTTCTGCTTTTCCTCAAGATAGATTTAATTTCCATAGATTAAACTCTCACTTTTCCTCAATTGTTCAACAATTGAAAGGAAAGTCAAGGTAAAAAATCAACGGTGAGCATTCATGAAGAACCCAAAGAACTTACTCTTATGAAATAATACACCATAAAAAAAATGTTGAAGACTAGATCTATTTGTTGAGTCACATTGTTGCTCCAGGTTTGGCAACGCTCGACTTCCTCACTGCAACAAAGAAGAAATTTGAACATTTAATGTATGGTGTGGGTAAAACATGCATGTTACATTTCGACGGTGTAAGTCGGCAAACTCATACTGAACTCGGTTTGCAATGTCGCTGATTTCCTGTCATACTTTATTTTTTAAACGGACTAATCAACGGCAATTATTTAAAACTGACGTGATTTTTCTTCTCTGTGCAAAGAAAATTCTGCAAAATCTCAAGGGATGATTTCAATTTGTTCTTTTTTGAGAAAATAACATAGAGGCGGAGATTTTCAGACACCGAAAACGAGTTATGTGATTGCCGACATACACCGTCGATTTTCAACATGAAACTAGAAACATCTCTGACAATGCTGTCTCAAATTTTATCCTCAGGTTTACGAAAACACTTTCCCAGGGGCAACCGAGGATTGGTATTCTCTAATTTGTTGATTAACATCTGTAAGGACTCAGCAAAAAATCATTACTATAAACGTTAGACGTAATGCATCTACTCTATGATATTAGATAAAAGGGGACTCGATTTCATACAGCTCCAGGTAGAGTACCTTTAGCTCCAGGCAGTTCATCACATGATGTACATGAACAGATTCTGAGTACATACCGAGAAAAGTGGCTAAATTATTTCAGACGAGAGATAAGAATCATTTAAGGACATCTCACCAATTTTAAAATTCTTAATTTTCAACCTGGGTCTTGGAGGAAATTCAGTAAATCGCCGAGTAATCTCATCCGGACACGGGTCATGTGGTAAACCTTCATGAAATGTTCAAACATATTTAATGGTGGAAACAATTACAATTACAAACGTCACTATAGTGTCAAGAGAAAGAGGAAAATAATGGAATAAAAAATAATGTAAATCCATAATCTAAAAAGAAAAAGTACTGTAGTGTAACCACATTTGTTTGTTTACGTCAACAACAACATCAACGGGGACCAATACACGTGATGATGAGCAGTGGGATGTGGTGACGTCATAATATAATGGTGGACCTCATTTTTTAGATAACTCAAAATAATTACAAACATTGAGGCTGAATTTATCATCAGATGCTTTCTATAAGTTAGAACATAGAAATTAGTCAAAGGGACGAATGCTTCAATCCACATTGAGAATTGAGAATATAATGACCAAAATGACCAATTTTTTGTTATTGAAGTTTGGCACCATTGCTAAAACTTCCCGCGCAGCCCGCACTTTCCCGCGCGAGGTAAATTTGATTTTAAGCGCACATTTTTAAATTAGCGGACTTTGTCGAGACAGCCGTCTATTCCAAAAGGCTGTTGAAATCTTTCATTGATACTGGCCGACCATTTTAGACCGATTCTAGGTCTAATCCTAACATTCGTGAGTGTTTTCTACACGAAGAAATACACAAATTATTATTATGCAGCGAAAAATAATTACGTTAGAAATATTTTCTTATTTGGAGGTTCCTTCCCTCCTCATAAGGTACCTCTCAGGCCTCTTTGCACCCTCCTCCTTCTCGGGTTACTTTTATGATGTATTAAAACACAGAGCCTCGAAGAGTTTCAGGGCCAAAGAGAAAAGTAGAAAGGAATAATTGAGGTATACATTCATGAATATGTAGTATTTTCCTAATAAATTCATTATTGCGCTTTCTTCTCGATCTTATTCATCCCGTCAAAGCGTTAAAAAAATGCTTTGTGCAAGTTGTAAAAGTCGTCAAAATTAATGATCGAGAGCGATTTTAGATTAGAAAGGAACTACTTAAATAAAGCATTACTTGAGCAAATTCATCGATTTAATAACTTTAAAGGCTCAGAAAGTTGTAGAACTTAACGCGCCTTTCCGTTAAGATATTGACGAATCGAAAATAATAAACATTTAAAATTATCTCCTTTCTCCAAGTTTAGTAGATTTAAAGGAGTTAAGAATAAAATACGAAATAATTCAGCGATAAACTTACCTAGAGGCATCGATGAAATAAATTATGAGAGATGCTATGCTTAGTATAAAAACTAAAACCACCTGGAACAGAAAAAAGTACAAAGGTATAAGGTCCAGAATGAATAAGTCAAGGCAAAATACAATTTTCCTCCTTTCGGAAATTTTCCGGAAAACTTATGAGATATTAGACTTATGAAAATTAAGTGGACGATATTAGCCAATATAGGTTTTTGCATTAGCTATTGGTTCTTTTCTTTGCAAAGAAAAAGGAGATGAATGAATTATGTATAAGTTTCCTAATAACTATTCGCGCTCTGAAGTCAATGTGTTGCCTATGCGCTGGAATTGAAGGCGAGATTCAAGTCTCTACCAAAAGAATTGCATTAATATTTTAATAGTCCAGTCCAAGCATGCGGCGGCATGACTCTGTCTTTAAATAGCTTGCAGCAAGCTGCTTGATATTTGTGCTCCTCGGTACATTCGATAATTATCTTTACTCCTCGTTACTCGTTACTCTTAATTTCATATCTCCTCTTTCCTCATCTTTTCCCTTCTTTTCATTTTAGCGCCCATCGTTTTGATGGCGCCTGGTGCAGCCGTTCATCTTGCGCCACCCTTAATTCGGCCCTACGCAGGGTTGCCACTTTGTGTGGAGACTCAAAGGCGGGAACCACGATGGTACCCCCCCCCCTCCCCCTAACGTATTCGTACCGATGCATGGAGAGTTTGACTGGATGTAGAGGATAATGAAAGGGAACGCTCGCAGAGTCAAAAAATAGTGAAAAAAATGAAAAGCCGTTTAAAATCGTTTCTAAGAACTGTGTCACATGAGAGACCCAACTAAGGGTTTCTGGATAAAAAACTTAATGTCGAGCGTCTAATCAACAAGGCTATTCCGTCCATTACTAACGCTGCAAGAAAGTACGAGGAAAAGAAAGGAATATCAAGCTCTTGCGACTGATAATTTATCGATGGTAAAACTCCCAAACCACGTATCTCGTTTACGCTGTTTAAAAATCTCGGCTCCCATTTTTCTTTTTTTTCTGAAAGCGAATCAACATTATTTTGTGGAGTTTTCACAGAATTTTCTTCGCACAGAGCAGAAAAATTGCAGAAATTTTGAAGTCGGAACGCTGAGTAGTTTTTCTTTTAAAAAATAAAGTGTGACAGTAAGTCTACAACGTTGCAAAGCGAGATACGTGGTTTGGCAGTTTCACAGTTGATATACTACCACAGTGAATGATGACATAAATCAAGTTTTTCAAGGCGCAATATCATGGTTAATATTTAACGTAGAAAGTTGCTGGTTGAACAGATCTTATTATTTATAGCTAATCGTAAAGTAACAAGCACTGGAAAAAAACACATTGGATCTAGAGTCCAGACTCTTCAAAACATTGACAAGAAAAAGGACTCTTGATTCAATCAGATTTAAGCTTAAATCAAAAGGAAATCCGCTCAAATTAAGAGGCTTCGTTCTTGCTTTAAGCTTAAATCTGATTGAATCAAGATCATTTTTTCTTGTCGATGTGTTTAAGAATCTGGACTCTAGATCCAATGTGTTTTTTTTCCAGTGAGCATCAAAACACGATTCTGTGACCAGCGCAACTGACCCATTAATGAAATGACCAATGGTCAAAATCATAATATATTGCGGAACATCTAGACCCGTGACATGAGTCACGGGCTTTTCGTCAGTTTAAACCCATGGAAAAGGATAGAGTGTCTGGGTGTTCGCAACGAACGACTTGATAATCAATCCTTTAACATAGCTTCAAACGGGGAAATATCGAGAATCGATGATTCACGCCCGGCCACTGAAGCCTATGAAAAACGGGCCATTGAACAAAAGAGCCATCCCACCAGTTAACTTTAAAGGGGCGCGGCGGTGCGGCGCGGCGGGGTAACGAACTTTAAGTGGGACAGAGGGGACCAAGTCGGGAACACGGGAGGGGTAAAAGTTTCCGAGAAGCCACGACCAAATGCCCCCGAGTCAAAACTTTTGCATCGAAAACACGGGCAGGATGAAGTTGCCAGACAACTTCAACAAATAAGCGATTTCTTCGTTCGAAGCGAGCTTTTTGAGGGCTTTCGTGTGATGCCGCGCCACCGTTAGTGGACAGAGAATCGATGGTCGATTCTGTCGACGGTCTGTCTAGTTTAAAAGTGGGATCTTATATACGTTTCATTTACGCTTACATTACGAGTAGGGATGTGACTTAAGGTGATTCGATGGACGCTATATTTTGTGTCAGAACGACATGCGATGTATCCCATCAATTAGTTCCATTTTCTCAGCTACTTGTCATTTTTTCGAATTTTGAGATCGCAATTCTGTTGTCAGTAGACTGAAGAATTCACTGACAAATTTTGACTAACAAATTCAACTTAATAAAGACGTGGTTTTTTTAGAGGAAGAATATCGCATTCGATACTGATATCGAAACTGCACTCAAATGCGATATTTTCCCTCTAAAAGAAACCAAGCCTTCATCAAGTTGAATTTGTTTGTCAAAATTGGTAAGCGAATTCTTTAGTCTCCTGACAACAGAATTGCGATCTCAAAATTCGAGAAAATGACGAGTAGCTGAAATTATGGAACCAATCGATGCGATTTATCGCATGCCGTTTTGACACAAAATATGGTGTCCATCGAATCGCCTTACTGACTTTCACGTTCACCTGACAACTGGACGTATTTATGCTAAAAGGAACTTTGTACATAGGGTTCGCGTGTAATATAGTTCCTTTTAGCATAAATACATCCAACTGACCTCTTGATTTAAATGCCAGCAGGGAATATTCGTCAAAACACGAAGAAAACAACTATAGACCTTTTGAGGGAAGTTTCATCCATTCTTGGAGTAAGTAATAATGTGTCAAGAACAAACGGAAAATATAAAAGAGCCCCTCTGGCTCTTGTCCTATCCTATGAAATAAATCCTCTCTCAAGAGACTGTCACTCCCTCGCTCTTTTTCTAAAAAAAACCTTTGTACGATGACATTTTCTGACGACAAATCAGGCGGTTATTTCATCAAAATCAGTCTAACTGCGGTACACGCTGCGCCTAGTTGCGAAAAAATGAGACGAGTTCGGAGATTTTTAAACATTGTAATGGTGATGCGCATTTTTCGACTAAAGCCAAGATAGATTTACACAGGTATGGAAAAGTTGAAAATTTCCCATGAGCCTCAGTACGTGTCACATGACCTCGTGACGTAGGTTAAGGGGCCCGTTTTTTAATTAAATTACAATCAAATTAACATTCAAACGTTTGTGCGTTTAAACGCTAAAATTAATATCGCATAACCAAAATTGTGCTAAAAATCCCACAAAATTTTGACAAACGATAAACCGAACATAATAAATCAAAATAATCAAAACATCCAAAATGGCTGACGTTAAGGGGCCGCTGGAGAGCCAATCAGAGGCCAGTTGTTCAGTTCTGTCCATACCTGTGTAAATCTACCTTGGACTAAAGCCAACGATTTACTTGAATTGTTAAATGTTGTTTTTGTTTAATCTAGAAACTTTCAAATTGTAAAGAAACATTATCTAAACAAGTGGGAGGAGGAAAACAACTTTCCTCACGATTTGAAAGTTAGAGACGTCTCAACGTTCGTTTATGACGGCGCAGAGATACAACTATTCGTGCTTGATGGATGTCCGTGTTGCATCTGCAAAATTGAAGGCGCGATGACGCAAGGCGTGAACTCGTAATGCGCCGCTCTATGCTGCCAATGAGATGTCGCTCAGATTCGGGGCAAAAGTTTAAAAAAAAAGCCCAAAAAAGTTTCTACTAAATGAGGCTGTGTTGGCTTTCAATTTTTTTTTTTTTTTTTTTTTTTTTTTTTTTTTTTTTTTTAATCCGATGTCTAATTATTTTTTGAGGATGTATTTGTAGACCTACATCTAAAAGTGCGATGGTGCAGTAGTAAAGTTGGGAGTACAAGTACAATAGAGAATTTGCAGGTGTCTGAAAATTGATGAATTTCGTATTTAAGTGGAAACTACTGGGTGAACTGAACACGAGGATACCCTTGGTTCATGATTTGAACAATTAGTGGAGAAGATATGACGAAATGATCTAATCTGCTAAGATACGTGTATTTAAATGGGAAATGCCACCAGATGACGTCACTAGGCGGAGCATTTTCTCACTTTTTAATCTATTTTTATACTACTTCCCATTTTAGAAAAAAATCATGAAAAATACTGTGAAATTAGCTCTTTGAGCACTTTCAGATGAATCAATAAAAAAATTTGCATGCGAATTTTCTCTTTATTAGTGAAAATTTTGCACCGTCAAAATAATGCGGTTACTTTCATCTAGGAAACTACGAGAGACCGTAGGAAGTACGTCTGGTCCACCGGACGTTTGCGTTTTTGGACGGGTTTTCAAGCTACGCTTCCGCGAGCGTTCGGAGCGGCTCAGAGTGGATAGGCGGGCCCGACGACGGGGAGGTCGGTAGAGGTAGAGACAGGTGGGCGGCAAAATCGATGGTGGTTGGGGCGCGCGCCGCGGTGGTGTCAGCAACCCCGCTGCAGACCGACGAACGCTAACGATCGCCAAGATTTCGGCAGTTTGTCGAACCTTATGATGGGCCCCGACAACGGCAATTATAGAGGTCGCACGCCTATCAAACCGAAACCGCTGAAATTCATGCCTGGTCTCTCGCTCACTCATCCAACAACTCGCTCCGTCGATGAAACGGACGATGTTCAGATGAATGTAGCCCGGCGGGACAAACCGATGCCATGACTCAGGTCAAATAATGTGTGTGGAGCCATTCATAAAATGCGTGATGATCCAGATGGGGAGAACGTTACGTCGTTTTGTTTTAACATGTTAAAGTGTAGACACCTACATCAAAATGGCGTTACAAGAGGGAGGGGACCTCGAAACATCCGAATTTAACGTTACGTATTTCAAGAACAGCCTCCATCTCCACTGGAACATTTTAAAATAGGTAATAGAGAATTTAAGATGATAGAACATAAATTTTAAAATTAACGAGAATAAATAAGGTTTTTTGAGGAGGGGGGGGGGATTTTTTCTGTGATTGTGTTCGATTACACT